ATGCGTTAAATTTAGTGTAGGAAACAAAAACTCCACACTTACGTAGAACAAAAGGCTCACAAATGTATTTTAAGCTTCAGGTTACTATGTGAGCAAAACTGTAAATTGCACCTCAATCTGATTTCCTTTTAGCCATCTGCTGCAAATTGGTGCGTGCCGTAAATTGTTTGGAACTACAGTTGGTATACTTTACAAACAACTGGTCCGAAAAGCGAACTTTACAGAATCAGCCCAACATTGGAAATAACGCAGAGTAGCAGTTAGAGAACTATCTTAGCTTATGCAAAGCATTCCCTGAACATGACTAGCAATAATTGCTGCATTGCTAATCGTAGTGCAAACAATTTGATGATTTGAAAGAAAAACGTAGTCTTAAACTGTTCATAATTTCATGCTGTGCGTAATTTTCTTGGTAGCTACTCGCGACTAAACAATGTTACCCTCCGGTGAGATGTGCTAATTTTCTAGTTTTTCAGTATAACTTTCATTATGCTTGAAAATTTTCCACTAAATTGCAACTTTTCTTCCGCACCTATTAAGATAAACCGCCAAACAAGGCTCTTGAACTTTATTAATCGCAATTCAAAAATTTTATTGAGTGTATATTTCTGTGTGTTTTAAAAAGTTTCTGAAAAGTAACCTATTATGAAAAAGGTATTGTAAAGACATAAATGTTTTATGTACTAACAATTGAAATTAAACTTAAATCTTAAAACTAACTGTGTAATAATTTTTGGATACATGCAAACTTTCCTCTGCAATTAATAAATATTATACAGTATACCTGTTTCCTTGATGTATCGATATTTGTGCAAAAGACAAGAGTATTCATTCGGCGATACTCTTTCACCGTCAACGCATTCGACGTTTCTTGGTGGGGGTGGATACATTACAGGTCCCTCACTGGTGTTCTTAAATTTCATTCGTTAGATAAAAATTTTTTCATTGGAAAACAACCACTTTGTTTCCAATTTTAACTTGCAACTTAAAACCAAATTTTTCCTAAAGAATTGAAATACAACTCAAATAATACCTGTTTACCAAGGTCAAACTGACAGATAAATTTTGTAAATGACATATTGTAACAATCCACGGCTTGTGCCCTCCAAACTGAAAACTCTTCTGATTTGCTCAAGAGGTATTAAGAGGTATAAACAGTAAAAATAAAGATTTATTAAGGTGATATTATTATTCAGAAAATTTGACTAAAAAAAGTGAGTGCATGAGGCGTGGATGCATTATCAAAATAATAAATTAAAACTATAAAGACGAGAGCAAAAGTATCCGAGCGAATTCGTTGTTGTAGAAGTTACATATAACAACGACCTATTTAACTGTAGCTAATTAAGCAGCAATATGTAAAAACTGCTTTCTAAATGCTGAGAAATGTTCCAACTAACAAAAAAACTTATTTTCTTATCAAGTACTCAAAATTCAGCTAAACATAATAAGCTATTTGAGTTGTCAATAAGCTTTTCACCCAAGAAATTTCAAAATGCCTTACCTATGCACAGAAAAGCTTCTTATAGTGAAAAGAAAACTGTTATAAAAAATAATTCTTTCAGCCCTGTTCAGTAAACTGAACAAACAACGGTAGGTATTGTTTGATCATATAATGCATTTCAGCAACATCTCAACAGTTTGGGGAAATAGCACTTAGTAAAAATAAAGTATAGAAAGTGAGAAAAAAATAAAAGCTTGACTGAACGATCAGAACATTGTCCGTGGGTTAAGATTGTGGCATACGGTTTAGCCCTGCTCCAAAAAGAATTTTATTTAGATTTACCAACATTTTTCTCAGCATTTCTAATGCGGTCAATTAGCGATTGACGCAAAGAAAAAATTGTCTGAGCAGTTTCGCTGGTCTCTTCTGCATCTGTGTAGAAGAAGCATAATACTGATTAAACAATTTACAATTAATGTAAAGAAATTTTGGGACCTTGCAGCAACTGGAATAACTAATTTGCCGCTAGAAGATACGATGAACTAACTTTGAAACAATTCTCCCGATATCAAATGCAGAAGAAAATCAGAAGTGTGTAAGTGATTCTCAAAGAACTAACTCAGAAACTGAGGGCACCATCATAACTGGTAACTGATAGCTGTCTCTTTTGAGACTCAAGTCAATTATAAAAGACTAACTTACAGTAAAAAACTTCTTACTAGATATGAAAAAATTTTTTAAAAAGCCAAAAAGTAAAAGTATAACTGAAAGGACAGTACAGAATAGAGAAATAATATCAAATAATCAGAAAAAACAACAGAAGTAGGGATTACTTACCATGCCTTCACAAAAACGAGGAAAGAATCAAAAAGTCTGAGTGACTGCCTATGGAGAAAACTACTTTTACTGCCAAATCTTTAAGAAGTTAGTCTACTTTTTCAAACACATATAGTAGCAGTACTGGCTAACGTAAAAAATCTTTTCTACAAACAAGATTGAACAAAAGAACTTGGTTTTTCATACGTCTTCTTATAATACAGAGACTTAGATAAAGACGTCAGAAGGGTATACCGAAAACGTGCAGGTTCAAGCAAATTACCTTTGAAGGCATCTCGAACCTCCCATAGTTTGGTGGCCCCATTTTCTTCTCCGCCAACGAACATTAATCGTAATAAGTGTGCTCTCCGTTATAACAACCTATAGAAGCGGTAGGGCCATCAAACGGATATTGAGCTGTTATCTCTAGCCTATTTCTGCTAGCTATCAAAACAACAACTCATTCTTTTTTTAAAGGTAGAAATTTATAAGCCACTTTAAAAAAATGTGGTCGATGATATCTATGCGAATAATTTTATTTCCAATGCACAACATGATTGAGGACGACAAATACAGAGGTAAATGCGGATGTCTACATACGGCTCGATAATAGTACTTAAAGTTCACTTATCACTGAGAAGACGGCTAACAGTTTAAACTTGTCGGTAGCCTAAAACAAATTCTCAAATCTCTGTAAGTTCGTAACTCGTGAATCGGTGTAGTATATTTTGCCTAAGGCAGGAGATAATCTTTAGTTGTGTGAAGACAAACGATGAAGAATATGCTTTGATGTGATAACTAAGATGACGACTAGAATGACTCGTGCCGGGTGTAATTCCGATACGAACAACATAAGTTCTTCGATACAACCGGAAGTCTTGGTGTATGCCGTCTTCTGTTAGGATCTTGCAAATTTTGGACGAGAAGAAATCTGAATGAGCTCTATACAGCGCCCACCAAGTTAAGTAATAATCAGAGTCATTTTGAAGCTTATTTCTTATAACTGCAATTATAGTTCATCATTCAAAGCAAAAGGCAGCAAGAGCTTAAAGAAAAACTGCCTGTTAGCACTCGAGCCACGTTGTATGTTGCACGTAAGGTTCACTTGCAATTAGTACGTCATTCAATCCGGTCAGGTTCCAAGTGCATGTTGTATTGGTTAAAAACACCGCATCTTCCATCCTAGTCTAGTCAAAAAATAAAAAAAAATTAAGCGAGCTGAAGGAATATAAATACGTTATGCGTTATCTGAAGAGAATGTTACCAACTTAGCAGCAAAAGATTGTACGCTTTAGACTTCAGTAGAAAGCCAAGTTTGGTAACACAAAATGGTCCTTCTTGATTAAAGTCAACGGAAGACTGTTGTGTCTAAGAGATAATTAAAAAAGAAAAAAAAATTAGAGTAAGAAGCGTACGGGCAGGAGCAACCAGTAAGAATCCGCATAATTAAGAAAGGACCATTTTCAATTAAAACATCAGGTTTCTTCATTAGTGCAAACTATAAAGAGCAGTGATGTACATTCTACGATTTGTAAAACAAAGAATGTGAGGTTGTGGACCAAAGTTTTTTGAGGAGAAGTCCTCGTATTCAGTTTCATTTCAAATCAGATTAATTATAATGAATACGTAGAAGCCCAAAGCGAAAAGCCGTCGAACATTTTTTGCTGAGGATGGACAACAGCAATGGCTTAACAGACAGGCAGTGGCCATCCAAAATATTGTAAGGAAACCTTTAAAAGATAGGCCGAGAGCAAAGGATTGGTTTTTGATAGCAGAAAAGCAAAAAAAAAAAAAAAA